TATGGGCATGTGGTGGATCCTCATTAAGTAGCCCTGAAAACAAACCTCTAGCAGTGAGCATTTGATTTAGGCTACTAGTTACCACAAAGGTGTGACATGGTGGTAGAGGGGGCAAGACAAGTGGCCCACCAAAGTCTGCTATATTGTCATAGCCTTTGTAGTATTTTTGGGGCCGTGGAGCGGGATTTTGTCCCCTCTATTGGTTTTAACCCGGAGCATCGGGTAACAACTGACCATGAACATCAACCGAAGCTGGAATGTTCTGGTTCTGATCATCATCATTAATACCCAAGTTTTGATTCATGTTGCGTAGTGTACGCTCTAATTCGTGATCGTAGGGAAACAAGGTTTCTCTTCCTCTTTCTGTATTTGGCACACAAGAAAGATAGTTCTGCAAGAATCAAAAACAATAAACAAAGTAAAATTAAGAAAAATTGACTAAATTTTAGTAATAAATTTAAGTTAATCTAAAAGCTACTTTCCCCGGCAGCGGCGCCAAAATTTGATAACTCTCAAACTTACTTCTCAAATAAGACAGTCGTATCAAGTAAAGAACCCAACTAAAGAGGTTGGATCGTCCCACGAGGAAAATAGTCGTCCCACGAGGAAAATAGTTCAGACTTAACTTCAATCTATTATTACTATTATTTATCCAACCATTTCCTTGGAAAACAAATACAATAAAAGGGGGGCTTTTATTTCTAAATGAATGAATATAATTAGCTAAATCAAAGTAGACAACTAACAGATTCAAATATTGGAGTTTAATCAGTTAATAAAAGTAACTAGGGTTTACGTGTTCCCTACAGGTTCCTAACTTGATAATTTTAACTATAACAATTTTTTCCTAGTATCTTGCATGCAAAGTGATAAGTTATGTATTTCTAAATCCTTGGTCAGGCATCTAGAAAATTTCACGCCGCACCTTGGTCCGGCTATGTGTGTTGCTATACTAACCCTTACCTTTACCTCATCTTAAGCATTGTATTCGATATTTGACTAAGTTATTACCTCGTACCAATCAATACTAGCCTATTAGATAGTATACACTAAATCTATGTTGATAATTCTTTTGCTATTATCTACCTCCTTGGTCCGGCAAGTAGCATTAAGGCGAGTTCTAACGCTGACCATCCGTTAAAATACTTCTAAGCGAAAGAATTATCAATAAATGCAAGACACTATTCTAGAATTGTTATTTTAGTTAGGTTTTACCTCATTATTCACGTATGGTTCCCACAACCCTAGTTATGTAGTTTAGTTATCCGTAGTGATAATCACAATATTCAAATATGTAATATAAGAATTCATGCACTTACTTCAATGAGAAAGAATAAAATACAGAAGTTCACTTGATTAATCAACAAAATCACCAACAATTAATTACTGAAATTAATTGAAGACTAAAGATTCTCCAAAAGTGTAATAATAATCACCAAGTCTAATCCACAAAAGAAGATAAAATAATCAAGAGTCTAACCCCAAAAACGAGGTTTTTCAAACTATTTATAAAAAAAAACTAATCAAATAAGGACTCTATTTGCTGAAAATATGTCAAAACGCGGTTGGGTCGACGGGCCTCGCGATGGGTCGTCGTGGTCACGACGGGCCGTCATGGACTCCGTCGTCCCATACTTTGCAAATTCTTTTATTGTTCTCTTCATTATCCTCGACGGCAGGTATGACCGATTGTCACAGGCACAACTGTCCGTCGAGGGTCTCTATTCCATAACACTTGAACTCTTGGAATTTAGGTATTGGGTCTACTTCTCTAATCTTCATGACGAACCAACAGGACGGACCGTCATGGCTACGACGGTCCATCATGCACTCCGTAACCCCACACTTGGTCAGACTTCCCCATCTTTCTTCAGCAGCTTCACTATGATGCCACCTACGGACCGTCACAAACTCTGTAGGTGGTACTTTTCTGCATTTCTTGCTCAAAAACCTCCGCTTTCATCTTTTAGACAGATTTCTTGGAAATAAAGAGAAACATACATAAAAATTAATACAAAAATGCTTTCGGACACACACTAAACTTAAGGAAAGAGCATTAGAATACTGTGATACCATGGTATATCAAGAATCTTCCCAATTTTTAACCCGTCTTCGATAGTCTCACAATCTTTACTATCTCAGCAAATTTTGCTCCAACGAGCAATATGATTTAATCATATTATTTGGGCTCTTGTACCCTTACAAACACTTCAACTATTTCTTTTTCAATCATAGTAGTCGTACTCTACCTGCTTCTTTTCTCCACTTGTATGCAAACTCTTTGTAACTTTCAGTGGAATTTTGCTTCATCTTTTCCAGGAAGTAGAGATTGGGAACAATTTCCACGTTATAAGAAAATCAATTCATGAACTCCTTGGCCAGGACGTTCAACTGTGCCATTGTCTGGGTCTCATGGGAAGTGAACCATTTCAGAGCCTCTTCGCATAGACTTCGGCTAAAGAGCCGCATCAACAAAGCTTCATCTCCACCAACCCCGACAAGCTGGTCGCAGTAGACTCTCAGATGGGCCATAGGATTCCCTACTCCTTCGAAAGTATTAAATTTTGGAATCTTGAACCCTTCTAGGAGGTCCACATTCGGGTAAATGCACAAATCCTCATAGTTCAAACCAGCAACGTAGGGGATGAATTGGAACTCCTTCATTGCTAGCTTAACCTCTTCCTTTATATCCATTTTTCGCTTCTTCCTTTGCCCTCCACTCTTTTTCATGCACCTCATAATGGTCTAGCTCAGAACCGTGCACATCGTGCTTAGTTGGGACGGGGATTTGAAAATTTGTTCCTTTAGGTATGGGTGGAGTTACTGAAGTACTTTGGGAATTCTGGGTGGTTTGGTAGTTTTGCGGATAGGTTTGGAGATTAGTATTTTGGTTTCGGTGGTGGTGAGGAGTTTGGGGGTGGAATGTTTTGGTTTTGGCTTTGATTCTGGTTTTGTGGTGGTGGAGTGGTTTGATGGTGGGTATTTTGACAATGAGGTGGTATTTGGGAATGGTTGTTTTGAGGAGGTGGTGGAGTATGGCAGGAGGCAGATACATACTGAGGATTTTGGGTAGTCAAATCAATGACAAAGGGATTTTGGGCAGGGGTAAACAACAGATTCTAAGCTAGATCAACGTTTGAAGAGCGGAAGCAGATAGGAGGCCTCCCATCAAAAACGTTAACAACAAAACCCGATGGAGGCAGATCCTGTTCCCTTACGTATTTCAACTCTCATTTCCGCGATCTGTTCTACTAACTACATAATCAATTCATTCTGATTCACTTATGAGGGTTGAGCCACCGCAATGTCAATAAGACTTATCTCTTCGTTGTTTTCTCCCATTATCGTTTTCTCATGTCTGAATTTCGATAGGGGAAGGAATCTTCAAGACCTTTGGATTTAGTGAAGTATGGATGATCAGCCATTTTAATCCACACAGACCAATTTCAAAGTACATAAGGAGGAAAACAACTCAAAGGTAGATTTGTCAGTTTAAATTCAGAATATGAAATGTATAATATCACATAGGGAGCAGATAAACACACAAGTTGCTTTGTTTGAGGATATCTTTAACCCACGAGTAAGGACAGAAACAGATTTTTAACAAACAGGAGTTTGCTTATTTTAGTTTCACACTATCTCATAAAGGCTTAATCACGTTGAGCTAAGGTCTTCTTGCAGCTGTTCTTTGACGTCCATTGATTTGTTCTTCGTATCTTCTTGTAACATGAAGGGGGGGAATGAAAATTTTGAAAGATATGGGATGGGCCTCGGAAGGCTACCTACGTATCTCACGGGGAGAATTCAGTCCCTACGTAATTGGGATACAGAAGAAATACTTATTCAGTCATTCATCTTGGGGATTATAAGGAAATTCAAAAGATAACCACGAAGCTCATAAAGATAAACGCGACCCATCTTAATCGCTCTTCTTCTTGTTGTAGAATCAGCCACGCGGAACAGACTCGACTTGAATCTATGCTGATGAGATATTCCACGTCGTGGCGGAAGGCAAGATAGTTTTCAATGTTGTGGTATGTGTGTGATAAGGGCAATGTTTTTGAACTTCGAACCAAAGGGAATACAACACGTCCACGTCCTTGTATAAAGGGTTGAATACTCTATTTCGAAGCAATTCTAAATAGACCTCCAATATCATTTCTTGAAATACGTGAATGAGCAAGATAGAATATAGTCCTCTCAATTACTGGTATGTCAAGCTGCGGTTCATCACGTGCATTGATGACACCGTCACCCCAACTGTTCGTAGTACTGTCCATATCGAGCAAAAGACAGACCATATTCTTAAATTTTATGCACTCCTCTATCATGTGCCCTTTCTGGTTAGGATGACACTCACAAGTTTTGCGGAGATCCCCTGATCCCACTTGGGAAAATGCTCTTTCGATGGGCCTCAACATACGCCTGGCCCGATAATACTCTAAAATGAGGGCGCACGAGATGGCTTCCATCCTCGTTTGGCGTTCTTGTGGATATGCTTCGAGAGTGATTTTCCTATCCCTTTCTACCAAACGTCCTTCAAGAGAAGGTTTGTGGCAAGCGATTCCTCATAACTTTCTTCAATGTTCTCCACCTCGGGGGTCCTGGAGATAGTATGTAATATAGGCGCTTTCCGCGCTGCTTCCGTATGTCAATCATCTCTCCTTTGGTTGGTTAAGTCTGGATACTCTTTCCTTTGTCCATAGCTATGATCTCACCTTTCTTGAGATGGTAGAGTAGTGTTTTAGGATTTGGTGATAGGATTTTTCTTTTGGTTGAGAAACTCAAGACTCGAAAAATTTGGTCGGACTCAATATGGTACGTAAATTATTTGTTAACTCGCAATTATCCAGCAACTAACTTTATTTTTGGCTAAAGTGTCTAACTTAATTTTTCTAGATGACAAATTTACTATCTAAGGGAAATTTTGACTTGCAATATTTTTTTTTAAGTCAATTAACAACGTCTTGTGGAGGTTAGAAGTTTTGGACACAAAAAACTGACGTCAAAATAACTAAACTCATAAGCAAATAGAGTAAAAATGGGAGAGGGACAGAGTTGGGTCCAAATTGGTTTCTGTCCACCTGGATTGGTATTCCCATTTCCGTTTTGGGCTTTTATCCCATTTCCAATTAGTACCTGTCCTAATCTAATCATACAATAATCAATAAATGAAAGACAATAAAAGCTTAATCCCAAAAGATAACAAAATACTATATAAAATGAACAAATTATGAGATTTTGGCCGCAAGACTCCTACTCTTCAATTAGCCTCATATTCTCCAATTTCGGGGAACTTGTGCGTCAATTGTAAGGCCGGAAGACTCGATGAAAGAGAATTGGGCCATAATGGCCTAGTAGGGAAATATGTAGATAAGGACCATAGGAGGCAGATACGCGCACATGCAAACAAAGGAGAAACAAGAAGTTAATATATCATTAAAATTAATGACAAGACAAAAACTTGATTTAATAGACATAATATAATTAAAGTATTTCATGCAGAATCATGTTGAGCATAAAAGCTTGGAGGGAGTATATAAAGGGAGTATTGATCATTTGGAACCGATCAAATTATGGCCACGTAGGCATACGATTAACAAGTAACGAAATAAAAAAAAGTATAGACTTGAGATAGATAATTCCAACCTTTCCAATATAAACGCTACTTAGTCGGTTGAACAGGGAAAAACTAGGTCAAGTTATACTATTGAACCCATGAATGGACACATTCAACATGAACACAAGACAAGGATGTTTTCGGAGATATGATCGATCAACATTTCTCAGACCCGACTTATCAATAACAAAAAAGGAACTAGTATTTCTTTGTCAGAATAACCAAATGAGATAACTTAGTTATTTAATTATTGAAGCAAGCATGTTAAATAGAAACTCGACCAAACATATATAACATGATATTTACTGGAAAAAGTCACTAGTTTAACAATGTTTACTACAATGTAAACTATGCCAAAACACATAAAATATCCAAAGTATGTTATTTCCAAATCAGACAAAGGTAAAGTAAAAAGAAATGTTAGTAAATTAAGGCATTATTACAGTAACATTAATGTGACTCATCAAATTCGAAATTGAAACCAAATAGACAGTATACTTGTTCAAACAAAACCACAGATTAGGCACAACTTGCTTATGGCCCTAAAAAAAGAAACAACAGTTTAACCCAAAATTAAATTATTATATTTTTTTGGCACAACGAGCCAACACAAACACCAAAAATCAAATGGCATGCTATTCCAAAAGGTAAGCAGATCGAAAAGCAAAAAATCTTGGTAGAAGGCGATCTGGGACACGGCAAAACAACAATAAAAAAAATAAAAATGCTAGATTTTGTTTAAGTTTAATTAGAAAAATCCCTAAAAGGAAAGTTAACCATCGACTTGACACAAATTGCGAGCCACGAGGATGGTCATTTTAAATGAACAAAATGGAATATAAGATACTAGTAATATACAACAAAATTTCATGTGATTAGCAAATACAGGTAAGAAAGGAGATTGGCATTCACGACTTCATATAAGGGAGAAAGGGAGGGATAAACATGCTTCAACATTAATCAGGACAACCATTTATATAACACGAGAATAGATCGAAACTTGCTTTATAAATAAGAGGAGATAAATATACTCTCAGCTACAATCTAGAAAATAGAAAACATCCGGTGATGAACGACGGCATAAATAGAGACAAATTCATAAGCATATAATAAAACACAACTCTAACAAATTGACTTATGCTCGCAAGAAAACCAAATGGACAGTGTCTTGAATAATTTCAATATTTTCCAAACACATGAGTAGGCATGCTTGTGATTTCAATCAAATTATAAGATAAGGCATCGAGGCAACTAATAAGATAGTGAGCCACTCTTGAAATAAGTATAATCAACCAAGAAAACTCATAAACAGGGTAAAAGCACATTTAACATGCGATAAGGTCATTCGGAGAACAAAAATAAAACACAAAAATTTTGAAAGACTATGATGAAGAGGAAATTCGGATTTGAAACAAACCATGTAATATCATAACTAAATAACAATTACTCCATGATTCAGTCAATCGTCAGAGTCGGAAAAAAGAAAGCAAGAGAAGACAGAGAGTCATTTACCTTTGGCAGGGCAGCGAACAGGGGTAGGAGACGAGCAGAGGGACTAAGTGAAGGACTCGAACAAAGCTTAAAATCCAACTAATTCCCCTAAAGTTTTTCTCTGTTCCTGAATGTTTGTGTATGTGAATGTCTACAGCCAATAGTTGTTATGTTTCCTTCAAATTTTATATAATTCCTCCTACTTTTCCGAGCTCCCTTTTTTCAAATTTTTGCTCTCTCTAAAAAAGGAAAAAAACTCTCTGTAAAAAGATCCTCCCGAAATTGTATCTAAACTCTTTGAAAAAAATTTCCCCACCCCGTAAGAACAAGAATATTTATAGGAGGGGTTTAGGGTTTTTGCAATTGGGGAAACCAAAGTCGGAATTCGGGGGCCCAAATCCAAATTCAAACCCTAAGAAACTTATCCCATTTTGAACAAACAAACTTTTGAAAATCTGAATCCTTTCTCCAAAAGGGAAGGAGCATGGACGAACGGATAAAAAATATTGTCCTTGGCAAGCGTCGTGGCTTGATCCCACGCTATCAAGGACAATTCGCGTGCCGTTCTAGCCTGCTGAAGTCGTATGAGTTTAAAACGACATGGGAGGAAAAGGCCAAAACCGCACAAGGATGCTTTCTGTTGCTTTCCCACGCGTAGTTCTGGTCGCTCTCCTTCATGCGATTCCGACGTTGCTTGAATATCGTTTCCAATATGCTTGCCAACCATTTTAGATGTCGTGTAGTCGCTTGCTATTACTGCCTTGTCGTGCGTGGAGAAGATGAAGGCGAGAGGACAAAGGGAATTTGGAATTGCTGCGTGTTGTCACGTTCTCTTAATTTCTCCTGTAAAGGGGAAAAAGGTTGGAGTCAGGTCAAAGAGTAACAGAAAATAGGCTAAGGTAAAAAAGGAATTGGATCTTGTGTTGGGACATTTAAGGGATGGCAGAAAATTTGGGTAATTAGATTGGGCTGTTGTTGGGGATAATTAATATGGAATTGAGCTCAAATTGATGGCATAAATTCTCTTCATTGACTTGAAGTGAATCCTAAACAAATGAAATAATTCACTAAACGAGTCAAACTAAAAATTAATTAACGAGCTTTCTTTAAAAATTCACGAGATAAAATAGTTAACTTGATTATAAACTAATGACCCCAAAATGTAAACTAACGATTCAGATAAAATCAACTTAATAAAGCATTAAACAAAATCAAAATCTTTTTGAGCCGACTTTTGAATATTTGTAAAATAAACTAGTTATATATACGGCTATATAAAAACGTCTATGCTATTTAAACTATAACAAGACAAACTAATAAATCTAACTATAAATTAAGGAGCCAAACTACAAGTTACTAAAACTAATTTAATAAAGTGTTAGAAATAACTAAAATCCTTTTTAAGACAAATTTTTGAATATTTCGTAAAGTAAACTAATTACACACAAAATTATAAAATATACATATTACTTAAAATTACTAAAAGTGACAAGTTTACTTAATATAACTCACGAATTTTGAATTTTCTTTAAAGTTTTTACAAAACTAATCATTTTAAAATTGTTTAGAATTAAGAAGCTAGTTAATTAATTATTTCGGAGGGGGGGGGGGGGTTAAAATTAGGTATCAACATCTGACCCTCATTTTACTTGGATAGATGCAAGAAATTCGAGGAAAATGAAATTGACTGAGCCAATTTTGACCAACCACAACTTCACCTTTCCGAAAAAATTTGATACGGAATTTAAGAATTATGGCCGAACCCAGAAGTGGGTTTCCTACATATCTCAGGTTATATGAGAATTCAGGTCACTTGTAGTTCACTACGCTTGATTTGAAGAACAATTGTATTTGTATCTTATGCTTCTTATACTTGTGTTCATGAAATTTTCTCAAAATTGGTATATAGCATAATTCTTAAATAAAATGTCCTTTTTAAGCATGTTTTTGCATGACTATCATACGTAGTACATTAAATATGCTAAACCATATTCTTCTATTTCCTACACAGTGTAGGTTCCGACTTTTGAGTTGATTCTCTCTAGTTCATATTGAGTTCTTCCAAGGTTAGTTGTATGTCCTTACGGATCCGAGTACAAGTACTTTTGATGTTTCATGTCTTTCACTGTAATAGACTCTTTTTAGACTTTCTATTGTAAGGACCGTGACCTTACTTTTGATTCAAAGATTGTTTCTGGATGCCTTGTGAGACTAGTACACTTCCGCTATTTTAAATGATTTTCAATTGTATAGACTTAAAGAAAAGTTTCAAATTCCGCACTATTTCTATTATCTTATGTGATGACATGCTATAACCCTTGTATGAGATTCTTTAGAGTCTTGTACACCGTGTCACGTTCGGGTGTGGGCTCGGATCGTAACATGTAGTGTCTTAATTACTCATTACTTTTTATGTATTACTCTGCACATTAAATTATGGTAACCATTTGTCCGTTGAAGAGTACATCGATATATTACATTTGAATGTTGGTACTTGGTAATATTGGTTGCCTTCTCATTATCTCATTCTTTATTCCTTCATTATACTTTTTAACCTATGTAACTTCTAAGATCATTATCTTCGATATTTACTACCTCGTTATCTTCCTATTCATTATTAGGAAGACTTTCTCAACTATAAATAGTGGTGATCTTCATTTGATTTGGGACACACAAGAAAAATAAAGAGAGGAAAGAGTTTTTATTAGTTCAAGAGAATGTTCTTTTTGTGGAACTTTGGACTCAACTCTTGTCTAGAGTTGTTGAGTTATACTTTGTGTAAAGGTTGTTGTATTTTGAAGGGAACAAGTCAAGAAGGACTACTGTCGGATCGATGAAAAATATTTGTTGCAGTAGCTGAATCTCCTTAAAGAGAGCGACATATTCGCGCCTCAATTTGAAGAGATTTTTATTTCTTTATTTTATTTTCAATTGTAATCTTGTAATTCTGTTATTTTGTAATTTTTCACTAACACTTCTATTTAACATTAATTATTTTAATCACTTTTTAATTTTTTTTTATGATTGTGTGAAGCAGAGACAAATTTATTATACTCAAGTTAAATTTATTGATCTCTAATTTTGTGTAAATGGCAGTATTTTTTTATTTCGTGCCTCAATCTGAAGATACTTTTATTTCTTCATTTTATTTTCAATTTTAATTTTGTAATTCTGTTATTTTATAATTTTTCACTAACACTTCTATTTGACATTAATTATTTTAATCACTTCTTTTTTATTTTTTTTTATGATTGTGCGAAGTGAAGACAAGTTTACCATACTCAAGTTAAAATTATTGATCAAGTTAAAATTATTGATCTCTAATTGTGTGCAAATGGTAGTATTTTTTTAAAATTTTCTCCAAATTTACAAATTTGACCAATTTATTCTCTTGAAGACATTTTATTTTATTTTTCATTTAAAAATAAACAATACAGACATATATAAAATGAGTAATGAATTTTGATACCCTAACCCGCCGGAAAACTCCGAACAACCCCCACTCCCAACACTCCGGTAGCAGCCCGCGGATAGCGAAATCAGGCAATAGCTTAATAGTTAAAAAAAATGGCTTCGTCCACCGGTCTCCGAGAATTGCAACGTGACCTAGAGAACAAAGCCAACGATCTTAGCAAACTTCAAAAAGGCAAAAATCTTCCTTCCTTAATTACCTTTTATCCTCTTGACTTGACTATATTTGTTGTATTTATAATTTATTTTGTTATCTTCTGTCAGATATATCAAAGAATCATCAAATCAGAAAGAAGTATACTATTCAACTTGGTGAAAACGAGCTTGTTCTCAAGGTATGAAGCTTACATTATTTTTTCAATACTTGAGATACATTATATTGAGTTGATTATCTAATGTAGGAATTGGATCTGTTGAATGAAGACGCCAATGTTTACAAGTTGATAGGACCAGTGCTTGTGAAGCAGGATATGGCAGAAGCTAATGCCAATGTCAAAAAGCGGATTGAGTACATTTCAGCTGAATTGTATGTAACATTATTTTTATTTAAGGTTTTTTAGTTATGCTCTAGTAGTTTCCTCTTGTTTGAGCAGAGTACATAATAAGGTTGTTGGTTGTTGAAATTAATAGGTTACTTTGAGATGCTAAGTAGATGAATAAAAAAGGGCCTATGGAAAATCCTTTTATTGAAGTTAAACGACTTATTGATATTACTAACTTATAACCTTCATCGGTTTGGTCCTGATATCCTGAAGAAGTATGCTGCTTATTTATCTAAATCGTTGTGCTTTAGTTAATAGTCGTCAATGTTGGTTTTATGTTCTGTTATATTGTTGGAGCCTGCTGCTGGACAAAGGTCCAGTAAGGAAATAGCAACAACGGAATTTGTTAAGCTGATGTGACACATTACTGGTACTTGCTCTAGTTTGCATATCATATCAGATCTTTTAATTTTGGAAGTAGAAGAAGTAGAAGAACAATTTTTTTCAAAAAATAGAATGAAAGTAGCCCACGTTTCAACAACATACACCGTGCAATTCCACAAGTGGGGTATGGGGAGGGTAGTTCACGCATATACCTTACCTTTACAAGGGAGAGAGATTATTCCCGATAGACCATTGGCTCAAGTAAAATCATTGCAAAGCAGTTTGAAAAAAAAGAAACACCGGGAGTGGAACCCTTTGGGGTGGCCCAGTGGTTTGGGCTTGGGACTTCCATGTCGGAGGTCTCAAGTTCGTAACCCATTCCCAGCGAAATCAAGGGGTTTGCCTTTTGGGTCGAGCTCGTCACACCGGGGCTTGCCTAGTGCAGGTTACCTCTCCTATGTGGTTTGCTAGATATTGCATAGGAGCAGGGTTTTTACCCTGTGCGAACCCAAAGGGTAGCGGCGGTGGGTTTCCCTTGTCATAAAAAAACAATGGGAGTTGAGAAGCCCAAGAAAAAATGCTAAAGAAAGTACAACAAGGCATACAAAAAAAGGAACATTCACTACTATGAAATAATTCAATACTCGAAGTGTCAGAAATAGTAAATTGTAACATATATGGAATAAAACTGATGTGCTATAAGGACCAAATTCAAATTCCATATGTTAGAGGTGCTGATGAATTGAATAATAGGGAATATTTGTACATTCGAGGAACCTCTTGTATTTGAAATCTTTTTGGTGAACCCTTGAGATTTTATCTGTATAGATGACTGTATGCCTTTTATAGAAAATCATGTTTGATGTAGATTCTACTTATGTACTTATTTTGTTCACTATACAGTCCCAGTAGCCAGCAGCTCTTTGTTCCTGCTAGAATTTCACTAGATATTTTCTTTGTTGAAAGTTCCATTTATCACAACTTAGAATCTCTTATTACTTTAGAAAATCAATTTTCTGAACACCTAATTAATTAGCAAAGAAAAAGATGGAAATCTGGTGTCTTATTTGTTGCATCTCCAGATAAGGAGACACGTGACACATATTCACGTCTTTTTTGATCTTATACCAAATCAGTCTAAGAATTTCTCGTCCATGCTTTGCTGGTGGTTTTTGAAGCTTGTAGATTAGCTCTTTTGGTGTTACTTGTATAGTAATGGGTGCCCCACAGAAAGAAGAGTGAAACAAAATTTGGGCACTTTTCTTGAGCAATTACTTGTTTACTATTTTCTTTTATCATAAGCAAAAGAAAAAAAACTATTTGCTTTTATCATGTATGCAGTATCCTCCGATTCATTATCATGTTTAGGGAAACAAATCAACTGATATTCTCCTACGTAGGCCTTATGATGATTGCTATAATCCTCACTTTGCCTAATGTTTGACTTCAAAAATAGGACTTCCCTTTATAAAGGTGGAAAATCAATACATTTCTTGCTTAAGGAAAGACGTTAATGGCTATACAGCATAAATCTATTTTATGTGTCCATGTCCTAGATTTTAGTTCTTTGACAAACCCCACTTTCACAAGCAATTGTGTCCAAGACTTGTACCAGGGCACACACGAAAGTTTAGTGGACATATTTCAGAAAGCAGAGAATAAACTGACTTGTAAACTCACTTTTCTGATAAAAGGCATGAGCTGAACATCGCTGTTTTTTGTTTGGTTTTCCAGGACTGACTATGTAGATTGTGAATTTGCTAGTGTACATAATTGTAACTGGTAACATGTATATAAATTTATAGTTGCACCATAAAAGTGCTATCAGTAATTACAAATTCCAACCAAACATAGGGCTACTGCTTCACTTGGATCCTTCATATCAACTAGTGTTTCAGGCTCCTCAGCATAGCTTCTTTACACCAAAAGTAAACCAAAAGAGTACAATTCATCTTGACTTTATGCACATAATTGTATTTGTCTTCAAAACTGTACAATGTTATCAGTAATTTGCTATGTGTATTTAGTAAATTTAATTTAGATTTAAGCAGAAGTTGGTAGTCGGTAATTTATAAAACATCTGATTTTTCTTTTGTGCTTCAGTAGTTCGTGTTACCGTTCTTTTATCATTTAACATATGCTCTCTTGTCATTCAACAGAAAGCGATTAGATAGTACTGTTCAAGACTTGGAAGACAAGCAGAACAGCAAAAAGGAAACGGTTGGTTTACTTCTCAACTTGTGTATTTTCTTATATTTCACATTGATCCCAGAGTAATATCCTTTAATATGACTACTAATTTGACGTTTCAACAAATATAATGAAACTGTGGTGATGATGAAATTTATCGTGATAGATGTTATTCGTTGTATGAGCACATCTGTTAGGTTGTTGGCAGTTGGACCTTTATGTGAGTAACTAGTCAAAGCAATGTTCTCTATAAGTACCTTAGATTTAGCAGGAAAATGAAGAAACGTGATTTGAAATGACATTTGTGTACAGGTATTTTTTTCCTTGGAGAGCATATATTCAAATAACGTTTTTTTTTTAGATTTTCAGTTCATTCAACTTATCAAGCTCTTCTATCATTCTCCTTTCTCCAAAATCAACGGGGAAAAATAGATGGTTGAAACTGTATGTTAGGACATATTCAGGTGGTTTCAGTCTATTTGGCTTTCTTTTTAGTTTTTCTTGCAAGCAGCCATTGAATCTTTCCACCGTATCTTGACTATCTTCCTTCACCTTTGTTTATTTAACTGTTGGTATGTAGCAATTTAAGACCTGTTAATATATGTCTGGCCCACCAATGAACTCCATTTACTTGATATCAATGTTTTTTCAGTCCTTGGCCTCTATTATTTCATCATTATCAAAATTTCCATAGCCAACGTGATTGAGTTTGCCGAACCCATAAATACACTTGTAGCTCCGTCCTGAAAACCTCATGCTGTCTTTGAGAACTGATAAAAGATTCTTTCTTTACTTTCTGCTTCAGTGTCCAATTAAACTAAGCAAATAGTACTGGTCATTTCTTGTATAGTGTCTGAAATATTTTTTTTATGATAAGGGAAATCCGCAGCCACTACCCTTTGGGTGCACACAGGGTAAACCCCCCATTCCTATGCAATAGCTCGCAAACCACATAGGAGAGGTAACCCACACTAGGCAAGCCTAGTGCGACGAGCTCGACCCAGAAGACAAACCCGTTGCTTTCTCTGGCAAGGGGTTTCGAACTTGAGACCTCCAACATGGAAGTCCCAAGCTCAAACCAATTTCTGTTGTTCATTAGTTGTTCTGTACTCGTTAATGTTAATTGTTATTAATATGTCTTTTTGGCGCCTTACCGAATCATGACAGTCATGAGTACTTTAGTCTGCAGATATTCAACATACTATTGGACTGCATCGAGGAGAGTATGGGATGGTGGTGAAATTTGGACGTATTTTAATAGGGAGTAGTAATACACTAGTACGACCACAAACTTGTGAGTGTTAATAGTGATCAATTAGTCCATTTAGCGCCTAAACTAATCATGACAGTTCATGAGTACTACAGTTTTCAGGTTTTCAACATACTATTGGATCGCGTCAAGGAGGAGGGTATGGGGCTGGTGTTGGAAATTGTACTTCTTTTCTTAAGGAGTAGCAATATACTAGTATGAGGTCACCAATGGTTGAATGTTTTTTAGTCTTGTTTTCTCTATTTTATTAGTAAAAGATTATATGCTTAGGGGTTGCAACAGTAGAATGACACCTAACTATCATAATCAACAGAATCATACCCAAGTGTGGCGTAAAATTCGATTAAATAGGTGAAGAACACGTCCAGGTTCAAATTGTAGCAGAAGTACAAAATACTATATGAGTTTTTCTCATCTGCTGAGATCTGTGGCAGAGTTGTTGACTATTTGTCTGGAAACAAGATAATCAAGGTGCTCGCTACCCTTGCTTAATAACAAATACGTAAGAAAACAGTAGGTGTCACCTACATTGCGCGGACTCTTCACTTTTGGTGCCGTATCCGTGTTGACATGACGTGGTTGTGGGTGTGAGATCCGTACCTGATCTGGTCAACCGGTTTTGGATACTTTGACCAATTTCAAGGGAGAAATTTTGGACAGATTCAATGATTTTTGTAACCAGAACAAAACCTTAGGTGGAATTGAAGAAAATGGAATACCTCGAATATATAAATTTCTATTGCTACTCTTTTTTTCCTTTTGTCTCCTTCCAAGATTCTCCTCGAGTTATCCACCTAATATCTCATAAGTTAGGTTTTATAACTATATTATTAGTCGAATCCCTGCACCTGTATCCACAATCCACACATGGATCCATGTCCCCAAATCTTAAAAATTAGGTCATAGTGGATCCAACCTCTAGATCCGCTCCCGTATCGAACACTTGCACCCGACTCTAAGCAACTTAGGATGTCACGGGCCTGATTTATAACCACAACGAACATGAATACAAGGGTCATCATGCAAAAAGTTGGTAAACCTAAATGATAAAACATAATTGTCCAATTTTCGGAGGTCTCTAGCATATCCTTAATGCTAAGTAATACACATTACCTTCCTCAAAAAATGATTTTTTTTTGCTATTGTCCACATTCTACTAGTAACTACCAACTATCATGTGCAACATATATTGTCTAAGGATTGTTCATATTATGTATTGTTTGATCATATTAAATATTGTTTGTAAGTGTGTATAATACTAATCATTAATACGAACAGGGACTATAGAGGTGTGACTAGTTGAATTGAATTGCATTTGATCAGTCTTAAATCATTTCATTTATAAAAGCAATGTTATTGCAATGGAATTGGAAATACACTCAATCTAAAAGGGAAGAAGTTTATGTTTGTGTAACAAAGTGTCGGAAGCTAAGATGATTGATACATGCAAGTACATAGGTGCCATTTATTGATTTATCAATAATGGGTTATTCCTTTAGCATTTTTGATAATTATTTTATTTTTTTTGTTAGCGGGTTTTCAGCCCTAATTGGTTATTGGTTTTTTCTTGGGTTAACCAATAACACGATAGTAAAATAAATAATTGTATTTATATCATTTTGCATATAAAGTACTTGACTTACAGTTTACTGTCCTACTTTTATTTCTGAATATCTCAAACTTTTGGTTATTCTACAATGTAAAAATGTTTATTTTTGAGCAAGATGCAATTTGTGAAATCATGTGCACGGTTTATTTGGTTTGTCACCTTATTTTAAGTGATTTCAATGATTTTTTGGATGTCCTGTCTTAACGGTTAAATCACTAACCTAATCGACAACGATCAGTTACCGATAAAATAATAACCGATAAGCCAACATCGTAATGGTTCTAGAACGATTTAACATCTCTACAAACCGATAACCTTAAAGTCAAACCGATAATCATCAAAACCAAACCAAATCAATCTATACGTAGCCCTAGGTAAGTGTTCATGGTTTGGTTTGGATCAGTTATTGGTTAAAACCAAAATCAAACCAATGTAGTTGGTTTTTAAATTTCTAAAACCAAACCAAATGAAAAAGTAATTACAGTTTGGTTCAACTTTTTTGATTTGAAAGTAATTAATTTTTTGAGGACGTACATATCTCGATAGACACAGACACCTAGTACATGAACAATCCACATGAAAGCTGTTGTGGGTTCAATTAAGCAATACTAGAGTTATTAGTGCGCGAAAAAATTTAGTCAATTAAGAGCAATACTAGAGTTACTAAAGTGTGACTATCTAATGTGAGGTCGGGTAGGTAAGGACTAAAGTAATGAATTTTGATGAACTTGAGTTTAGGGTTGTAATAGTTGGGCTAATTGGGCATGAAATGGTAAACTTAGAGGCTTGAGTTAATTAAAATTTAACTATTTATATTTTATATATGAGTAATATATTCATATTATAAAATTTATATATCTAATTTTTCGGTTCGGCTTGGTTATTTTGAGGTTTGTTTTTGGTAAAACCAAAACCAAAGCAACTAGTATCGGTTTTCAAAATTAAAAACCAGACCAGACCAAACCAAATATTGGTCTTTTAATTGGTTTGGTTCGGATTACGGTTCAATTTAGTTTTTTAAACATAACCATGAACAGCCCTAGGGGAAGGGGTGCTGCTTGAGGCTTGCAGTTAGAATTGGCCTAGCAGCTCTCTAGTTCTAGTATAAATTAGGTTTATAATGCTCGTCATCCTGTTTGGTTGGCAGTTAGATCTTAACGTGGGTAACTAGGGTTTATTGCTTTTGACTTATAAGCCAAAACCCATAAGTTAGGACTTGTAACTTGTGATTTTTGGCTTGTTTTTGTCTTTTTTGCTTAAAAACAAGTGCTTATAAGCATTTTTTTTTTATCTAAACATTTGAAAAGTAGTTAAAAGCTTTTTTGGCTAAAAAAACACTTAAAATAGGCCATTCCAAACAGGCTCTAATAAAGATGGTGATTTCTTAAAATACCTCAGTTTTAGCAGGAAAATGAAGAAAAAGTGATTAGAACTGACATCATTGGGTACAGCTTCTTTTTTTTTTTCTTCCTTGGAGAGCATATATTCAAGTAACATTTTTTAGATTTTTAGTTCACCAAATTTGTCAAACTCTTCTATCATTCTCCTTTCGGCCTTTCTGCATTTCCCACAGGGAATGATAGGTGGTTGACACTGTATGTTAGGACAGATTCAGGTGGTTTCAGTCTATTTGGCTTTTTTTTTTAGTTTTTCTTTCAAGAGGCCATTTAATGCATTCCACCATGTTTTCCTTCCCCCCTTTTGTTTCTATTAAGTGTTGGTATGCAGCAATTAAAGATCTGTTAATACTTGTCTGGACTCACCAATGAGATCCATTTACTTGCTATCAATTTTTTTCAGTTCTTGGCCTCTTGTTATTTTCCTGATCATCGAATGAGTCGCCTTGTTACTAAGATACCAACTCTAGTCCCTTAGTTAGCTGAACTGTATAACTGTTTTCCAACTTATATCAAGTCGTTTAATGAGTCGCTATGTTACTAAGATACCAACTCTAGTCCCTCAAGGTGCTGACAGATTGATACAATAGTTGGAAAAATCAGTTTGTTGTTTTATCTTTTCTTCGTGCTAGAATCATTTATTGCCTTGTGTGGTGCAGTCGACTAGTAATATTTCTATGATGTGGATGTGTTAACCTGATTCATTTCATTGTTGATATACTTGTTATTTTTCAGATTATGAAGCTGCAACAAAAGATTCAGTCTCTCCAAGCGGGAAAAGGCAAGGCCTGATGCGCCTTAGGGACTAACATGGCACCACGGGCATGTTAGATCACATTTAAACAGGTCGTGTTGTCCCAGAAACTCGAAGTATTTTCCTTATTGTTCCGTTGGTTTTTGTAGATCAAAGGGTTACATGATTTATATGGTCTTTAGTCACGTGTGATATTATTTTATAACTTTATAACTAGCTGCAGCTTCTTTAATGGATGGTTGTTATCGTGGTTAAAATACTTTTCAAAATTTTGCAAATTCTGCCTATCATTTTAGTTGTTACATTGAGAGCATCTCTGAACTTGACATAATTTATTAATTTTGTCATCAACCTTAAAGATGCTTCTTTACTTGATTAATCAAATTTAGATACATAATCTGTTAACATAATGTAGTAAGTGGTTTTAAACTCGATTAGAAGCAGAAAATTCTTAATATAAAGTCGATAGAAGTATTGAAAGCATCCTCAAATTTGATGTATTCAAATTTAGTTAGTCATATAGAGATTTATTTTAAGATTGTCAATAATTTAAAGATAGAAATAGTAATTCAGCATCGACTTATTCTTCTATTGAGAACAAAGGGCTCATTTTGTTTCAATATTTTGATCGATCAGTGCGGCATGAAAGGGGTGAACTCCTCACCCTAACCTGCTAAAGCTTTTTATCTTTTGTTGTTTCCCGTATTCAGTATTTATAAGGAAGTTTGATTAAATCTGAATTCATAGTAAAAGGATTTCTAAAAACAACCAAGGTAATTATATATTTAGCAAAGTTCAACCCAAATCTTCACTCGCTAGAACTATCAATGAAAAAATGAATTTAAAGAATCAACTAAATTTGATTTTAATTTTTAAAAAAATTGGTTCAAATTAAATAATGAAAACTCCTTTTTAGTCCATAATATTAAAAAAATATTTTATCCTTCTTTTACTTTAAATTTAAAATTCTTACTTATTTCCCCCCCAATTAATACTAAATAAACGAATCAAATAAAGCGAGTACAAATATTTTTTTTGTACGTACACAATTAAAACGAATATACCGCTTTGACAAACGTATTATTTTATTCATTCATAATTATTTATCGTAATTTTTATTTTAGAGACAAATTATAAAAATTTTAAGTAACAATTTAAATTATATATTTTCTTATTATATTGACATGTAGAAAATTGTAATTTATAATACTTTTCATAAATTTTTGAATGTAAATTTTTTTATTTAAAATAACAAATTAATATACTTTAATTTATTTTAAAAAATAATTAAATTAAAGGGCGTACTATGCACGAACACTTGGCAGACTTTGCGTAATGGTGTAACGTGACAACTTTTAGAAGCTTACGGAGCATGCCACCTGTTTTCATTTTTTGACAGGATACATAAATATGCTAAATGAAAAAAAAAAGATAAAAAAAAAAAGAGGCTATCTATATGCATGTCATATGAGTGGACTTGACTAAGAAAAGGAAGTATAATGGCTAGTTTAACCAAAGGATACATATATTTCAAGACCTCTTGTCAAGAATGGTTTAGTTATATCAAAGCATTCTTTGTTGGTCAGGTAATTTCTATTTCTTACAATTAACTCTTTTCTTTTTAATTTCTTGAAAGATTTAAAAAAAATTGAACCAACCGAATGCATAAATACTTAATTTTGACAGTGTATATCTAGATATCTCAATTTATTTATATTATATTTCTATATAACATATATAAGTTTTTGATCTCATTTGATAAGTTGAAGTGTTTAATAGATAGCCGAAGATGTATTGAGAATGTGTCACACTACTAAAATTAAAGTATGTGTACTTATTGTTTTGGATAGGGGAAGAAGATGAGAGCAAAAAGTGAGGAGGAATTGACAGAGGCTGATATGGTGAAAGCAAAAATGGAGGTTGAGGCTACTGATGAAGCAGAAAACACCAAAAAACAACTTCACAAATCAAGTTGATTTTACTAATATGTTTCTTTTACATTGTCTAATAATATATATGTTTGATTAGGTCGATGGTTTTTTTTTAATTCTTGCTTTGGTATATTAAAAATATATAATATAATATGCATGATACAATTACCGCTCTAATGGATAATATTTTGAGAGGTTATGTGTTTTAACATTAAAATATTAAATTTGTATTTTAATGGATATAAATTGACTAGGCATTATGTTTTGACATAAATCTCTTTTTTTATTATTATGACTAGTACGCCAGTTATATTAATGCATAAAAAGATTCAAAAGAGTTAAAAGTGATATCACTTACAACCCATCTAGGAAAATTAGAAGGCTAAACAACTTTGCGTACTAATGAAATATAAATTTTTGCTAAATTATGTGCTACTAAGTTATAAGACCTTTGAATATGCTTTACATTGATCGTTGCAAAACACTTTATAAGGTTTCAAATGTCTTTACAAATAGTTTGTATCTCTCATGAGACTATAGTTTTTTATAGTTTCAAATCCTCAATATTTTTTGCATCTAATAAGATTTTCACCTTTGTTCAGCCCTTATCTCTAGCATTTTCCAGTGCTTCTTTGTAGTTTCATATCCACTATATTTTTCACATTTAATAAGATTTTCACGTTTGTCCAGCCGTTTATCTCTAGCATTTTCCAGTGCCAGATTACTATTGCTATCCAATGCCACCACATCGATGCTTGTCGTCGTCTTTTCCTTATGCACACTAACATCTGCAGATACAACAATATCATTTTATACCATAGTTATATTTTTATCATCATTACAAGCTGATATATCTAGAGGAAAATGAAGGAATCAAATTACTTTCATGTTCATGAAAATTAAAAAAAGCTTTGTTAACAATATTATTTGGATCAGAAATTTCTTCATTGAAACTTTTTGAATTTCTAGCCTTCCAAATTTGGCACATAATAGAATTATTTAATTTTATAAGTTCAATAAACTCAGGATATTTTTTTAGCATTAGTAAAAAAGATGATTTCACCATTCAATAGAATTCATCGTATTTTATAAATTAGGTCAATTAATGGAGAGAATTTTTCAAACTAATTGAGCACTAGGACATCTAAATAACATGTGACCAAATCGTTTTATAATCAAGTCTACGATCCTTACACACTCCACACATATGGCTCATTCTCCTAGTCCATCACCAACTGTCACATTTCTTTGGGAAAATTATTTTATATCATATTTTAATATTTATTTATGAAAGAAATTCTATTGTGATGCATATTTCTTGTGAAGAAAACAAAAATGAGAAGTGTTGGAAAATATTGTACCCAAGTTAAGATAGAATCAAATGAAAATAGTAAAGAGTATCTTTATAATGTATTTTATCTCTTAAAATATAATAATATACATATATAAGAAGTAATATATGAGGAGTAGAACGGAGAGATTCTTTTATTCAAATGTTTCCAAGTGTTTTTTTATAACGATGAATAAATAATTATTTTTAGAGAGAAATCAATCTAAACTTGACCATATAAGATGTCACACTAATAAATATACACACTTACTCAAAATAGTTCACAAAATCTAAGAAATAAAATGATCCCTAGAATCTATTGAGAAAATAGACAATTCATTAATTTAATGAATTTGTAATATTTTAAACTAAATTTGTAATATTTTTAAGTGTCTCTTATCATAATGAATGAGCAATCCTTGTTTATAAGTTAAGAATCATTTCAATGGAGAATCATTTTAAAGGTTATCATGCGAATGCAAATAGTTCGTTAAAATTTTACTAGAAAAAGTTTAATGAAAAAAAGTCTAGTAAAAAATAAAAAGAATATACATACTTATAATATGTCTTGAGTATTGCCTCATTCAGAATCTTATCACGAAAATCTTCGTTCGTGATCGGCCTCCTCAACTGTGTATCGATCGAAAGGCAGGGCGGCACAGCCCCCAACCAAGGGAGTGGTTACGTCCAGTATGTACCCCCTTATTCCCGACATGCTATGGTACCCCGGAGTGGGATCGATTTCCGACAAGTCTTTCTGAATTAGAAGAGCAAGAAGCGGAACTAGAAGAAAACTTTCTTTCTCTTTATGGATAACCAATTCATTTTCAAATATAGTTGGGAGACTTTACCCAAGAAATGGGTCAAAAAAATGGAAAGATCGGAACATGGGTTAATGAGCGCTTACCCTATCGACCGAAGCTACTATCCTAAAATATAGTAGCCCTTATTCCTTGCATCAACAGGCAATCCCGCATAAAAGAAAGGCTATCATAAAAGAATTTTACGAAAGCTGGCACCCTTGGATGCGGGTTGAAAGGGCCATAAAGGACTTTAATCTCTTTCTTGAACTTGAAAGAGCGTAAATTCTGCCTTTTTTTATCCCAATTTCCCACTCTTTCTGTGAGGCAAAACCTCTGTTTAGACAAAATCATGGTTAAAGAAAAGATACAACACACATTTTATTCCCTTTAATAAAAACTTTACTTGATTACAGATTATTTATTTCAATCATATATCGTAACTTCTCAAATGTTGATATGGACGACGTCTTAGTGAATAAGATTGATTAACACTTTAATAAATCATTTGAAATTATATCTCACCATTCTGCTAAAATTATGTGTGAAGTTGGTGAAATTTACGATGCTCAGTCTCCCTTGATATATACTCCCTTCAATCGAGTTATACATGCATCATTATCTTTGTAACATGGTGCGACGATCCAAAACCGCTGTTATTTAGGAGAAACAAAATCCTAGAAAAATTTGTCCTTGTCCCACAAGCGGGATGGTGGACGCTAGGGTGGCGGTGCCAGAGTAGGATAAGCTGGTGCCAGAGCGTGATATGGGATGCAGAATGTAAATTACGAGAAATTTATTTTCTCCATCTTCCTAAAATATCCAAATAAGTCGTAAAATACCCTAGAAACCTCTAAAAAAGTTCTCTAAGCTTAGGAATGAAGGATGTATGCGGATCTTGAAAGTATGCGATCTTGCGTTGTTGAATCTTGTATGCGGATCTTTCGTTGTTGAATCACACGTGCTATAAATAATATAGGTGAATGATTATATGTCATGAATCATTCCTGAATATATGGCTTGAAAGTATACTTGTGCTTATTATTGTGGTGTGATGGATCATATTGTCACGTTCCGACATAACTAACTTGGTTCTGGTTGTAACGTTCCGACATAACTAACTTGGATCGAGTTGAAACGTTTCAGCATAAAAGATGGAATCATAACATGTTCTGACATAACTAACTTGAATTGGATTTCCACATTCCGACATAACTAACTTGTATCAGATTGACACGTTCCTGTATAAAAGATGGAATCAGATTGCCACGTACAGGCATAACTAAATTGCGTCGGATTTCCACGTTCTAGCATAAAAGATAGAATTGGATTGTCACGTTCTGACATAACTATGAGAGGTACCACGTTCCATAGCACTAACAGTTTAAGTTTGGGTTCCATAAGAAGATCAACTACTTGTGATGAATGTTAATTGTTGAAGCATGTAATATTCAATAGGGTTTATGTTCCTTATACGTGCAGGATGCTATGGTGATGTAGAATTATATGGGTTGTACTTAGAAGACATATGTTGTGACATTTTATGTTGATTTCCTTGTGTAAACAAACTTTTGGGGTATAGTGGTATGAGTTGAGTCCAATTAGTATCTCCTGATTCCAATTGGTATCTCAACAAAGTGAACAAAAAGACGTAGTTAAGACGGATGGAACATGAGAAAGGTAGATTGAAACTAGAAATTTTCAATAGGTATCTAGCCTTAGGGGCTAAAGAGGCATGGATAACCAGCAATAGTCATCCATGAAACGAACTAACTAATAAAATGGATGTCTCTGCATTGTATTTTTTGGAACTGTAAATGTGTGCTTCTTGTTGATGGAATTAACTGTGATAGTGAAGTTGAATTGCTTGAATGTGATGATGTGGTGTTGTGTGTTATAAATATTTGTCTGAATTTTAAATATGTGCAAAGTGTTATCCTAATTGATTGGAGTTATGCGAGTCGTAAATGTCTGGGTGTATCCTAGGGATAAGTGTGTGTGACATTAAATTACCGAGAGCTAGTCGAGTTTGAGTCGTTAATATCGATTTGGTACGTACCCTAGATTGTTGGGTTAAGGGGAACCTTTGGGAAATTTTTAGATTAACAAATAACTCAAAAAAATATAGCAGAGGTTGTGTCTCAGCTTTAGCTACTAGGAGGTATTATTCCCGCCGAGGTGGGCCACCAAAGCGGGATTAGGCAAGGCAGAACCTTATCATGTCTCCCTGTTTTTTCTAAGCACAATTTTCAGAACCCGAATGGTATCCGGATTCACTACTACTAGTCTATCAGTGTTCAGCAGCTCAGAGCGGAATTAGGAGAGGCAGAACCTCAGCTAGCTTGTTTACCCTGTTTTCCTAAGCACAATTTTCAGACCCCGAATGATATCCGGATTCACCCGTACAATTCTATCAGTGTTAAAAAACAAGGTAAATGATTATAAACACCGTTAAAATTAAAATATAGGATGTATCAGACAACAAAAAAAAGTCATCCACGTGCTTACAAAACATAGGAAAATCAAAAGATAAAAATAAGATTGTCTTAAAATTTATAAATAAAAGAAAAAGGGGCAAAATGACAACCAACTCAAGAACCCTGCGACTGGGAAGTGTCTGTATTAAAATCTAGCTCCTTCGGGGGAACCAGGATGGTCGTGGCCTCCCTTAGCTCCCGAAAGGGAAAGTAGTCGCCTGGCTCTGCTATAGGAAACTCTTTCTCGCACACGCATGAATATAGTCTTCACCGCTTTCCAAAGCCGAATCACAATGCGGTCCCTCACTTATGGGCAACTGCCGACAAAGTATCTCGACCGATAGGGCGGTGCTGGGTGGGATCAGAGTGAAGTCGGCATAGACTCCCTATATTTTTTCAAAACGTCTCCAAATCCACCTGGACACGTGCATTGAGAGAGGGTCCTTTCCGTCTGAGCCCGCGGCCGCCCTACTACTGTTAGCGCCACCACTTCTCCTAGAAGTAGAGCCAAGACCTAACCAAAAGAGGGTGAAAGGGGGATCCATAGGCAATACATTACCTTGTCAACATTGAACAAAGGCATTCCTGCCTGTTTGCATAGGGCAGTGATAAGGTCGGGAAGAAAGAACACCTTCTTGTTGCCTAGGT